TCAGTGGAAAATGGTTTGTCTCATCCCTGTAACGGATACTTATCTGCAGGAGACTAAAAACAATTCCTGCAGCGTTCACACACAAATCCTTTGTGCAAAAATGAACATAAAAGAAATAAATAACATGTATAACAATAAAACAAGACAACGCTAAAATGGCAGCTGTATGTTGGTTCAATGTTGTTAATGCAGTGCAAGCATGTGTGTGTCTAATGACAGGTACAATAGGAGCAGAAAAAAAAAAAAAAAAAGAAGAAGAGGAGCACTAATTACCTTAACACAAACAGGCTCGGCTCTGGCCACCAACCTGTATATATATATATAATAGTAAAAAAAACTCTGATGACAGTGCACACTCAACAACAATGCCAACATGTTTCGATTGGTTACGGCCAATCTTTCTCAAGCAGGAGGTGATGTCACCAGTACAGGGGCAATACTGCAGAGTTTGCACTGTCATCAGAGTTGTTACTATTATATACACAGGCTGGATGCCACTGGCCAGGAGTGAGCCCATACAGCAAGTAGCTGTAACGGGCAGTACAGTGGCTAAATGGTTAGCACTTCCGCCTGGCAGTACTAGGGTCGTTGGTTTGAATCCCAACCATGGCACCACCTGCCTGGAGTTTGCATGTTCTCCCTGTACCTGCGTGGGTTTCCTCCAGGTACTCCGGTTTCCTCCCACACTCCAAAGACATGCTGGTAGGTGAATTAAATCCTGTCTAAATTGGCCCTAGTATGTGTATGTATGAATGTGAATTAGGGACCTTAGATTGTATGCCCTTTGAGGGTTGGGGACTGATGTGAATGTATAATATATATGTAAAAGCTCTGCGTAAATTGACGGCGCTATATAAGTACCTGAAATAAATAAATAATAACTACAGGCTAAGTGAGTCAGGAAAGCCCAAAAAGCCAGGAGCACTGGGGAAGATTGTCTAAGGGAGCAGTGGTACTGCTGAAGAAAGACAGGTGGCTTGGTATTTTTTGTTACTTGTTTTGCAGGTGAAAATCTGCTGCATGGGAGACTGCTTATGGACTTTTTACTTTCATTTGTTTAATAAAAGTGGGCTGGCAAGCCTTTAAACCCACATTTTGGACTAGCGTGGACTCACAAAAAATCTACCACTGAGCTTAACAACCCTTGTATCACAATGTACACACATCTCTCTAACACACACACACACACACACAAACAAAGACTTGAACATCTCTGGAGAGATCTGAAAATGGCTGTGCACTGACGCTCTCCATCCAACCTGATGGAGCTTCAGAGGTACTGCAAAGAAGAATGGGAGAAATTGCCCAAAAATAGGTGTGCCAAGCTTGTAGCATCATACTCAAAACGACTTGAGGCTGTAATTGGTGCTAAAGGTGTTTCAACAAAGTATTGAGCAAACACTGTGAATACTTATGTACATGGGGTTTTTCAGTTTTTTATTTTTAATAAATTGCAAAGATTTCAAAACAAACTTCTTTAACGTTGGCATTATGGGGTATTGTTTGTAGAATGGTGAGGAAATAAAAATAATTTAATCCATTTTGGAAAAAGGCTGTAACATAAAATGTGGTAAAAGTTAAGCGCTGTGAATACTTTCTGGATGCAGAGTGTGTGTACACATATACATACACACACAGGTAATAGACAATGTAATTAATTCTGTACTCTGTATACCCACACACATCCCAGTCAGGGAATCTGAAACCAGCTTTGAAGGGTGTTAACCCTTTCGCTGCCAGACACGTTTTTGCATTTTATTTTTTTTTGCACACATTTAAAAAATCATTTTAGGCCTGAAGATTACACAAAACCCCCAAACATTATTTTCTGAAAGCAGACCCTCACACCCTAGAGAATAAAATAGTGGTAGTTCCAATTTTTTTTTATTTCACACGATACTATTGCAAAGGTCTAGGAAACGCAAAATGTCAGTAAATATCGCACTAAAGTGCATTTTAGGGCAAACAAATGCAATAAAATTACCCAGATTTTTTGGTAAATTAGACGAGGTTGTGACGAGTAAATCTGTACCAAACATGCCAAACCTTAAATTTGTGTGCGCCTATGAAATGGCGACAAACGTCAGTACCCTATATTTTCAATAGACAACGCTTCAAAAGCCCCTACAGGTCATCCGTTTAGTGTTACCAAGGAGGTCTGGTGCTAGAATTATTGCTCTCCCTCCCTTATGCTTGGCGTTATGTAACACGTGGAGTGCAATCTGTGTTTTCACGCGTAGGCACCCAACGTGTCCATTTACATTCATATATGTGGAGGTGGGCTTAATTTTAAATTTTTTTTTTTGGGGGGGGGGGGGGGGGGGTTATATGCTCAGGTGTTATGTGCTTGGACATAAAGTCCCCTATGTGATGATTTTTTGGTGACAGGTTTGCGCTTTATTGAGACATGCAGGGTACCCTTTTCAAGGCACCCTTAATAGTTTTACTTATTTCAGCAACATCCACGCAAATAGAGCACCCAACATTATAAATAGTTTATTCTTGCAAAGCAAATACACTTTTACACACTGGTGCTCACCAGTATTACAGCACTTTTTCTACCCCATTTTCTCTCCACCATACAGCTAACATGACCCCAAGTGCTGATAGAGGGGAGTGGGGGATCAAACAAGGATGCTGTGCAGGTGCCAGATGTCCTCCTTATCAACTGATCACATCAGCAGTTGTTAGGATGGTGGTGGCTGGCCCACATGGTGCTAACCGCATTGCAATACATCTTTTCCTGGCTATTCCAGCCGGGAAAGTGACAGCCAGGTCACACAATGAAGGGGAGGGGAGCGGATGTTCAGAAAGGGGGGGCACCGGAACCAGGGCCCTGCCTGTCAGTTTTTATACACAATCCCGGCTGTAGCCACTGGATTGTGTATAAACCCCCCTGCTGTCAGGTCTGTAACAGCGAAAGAGTTAAAAGGACTAGTACAATAAATAAAAACCTAATTTAAAAAGCATCTGGCAATTAATTTATATACAACACACACACCACACACACACACACACACACACACACACACACACACACACACACACACAACACACACACACACACACACACCACACACACGGAAATAAGTATTTGACCCCCTGCTCATTTAAAATGTTTGCCCACTCACAAAGAAATTATCAGTTTAAAAAGCGAAAATGCTAGGTGTATTTTACACTGAGAGACAGAATAGCAACAAACAATTCTAAAGAAATGCATGTCTAACAAAATATACACTGATTTACATGTTCATGAGGGAAATAAGTATTTGATCCCCTTCAGAAAACATGACTTAGTACTTGGTGGCAAATCCCTTGTTGGCAATCAAAGAGGTCAGACATTTCCTGTAGTTGGCCACGATGTTTGCACACATATCAGGAGGGATTTTGGCCCACTCCTCTTGGCAGATCCTCTCCAAGTCATTAAGGTTTGGTGGCTGACGTTTGGCAACTTGAACTTTCAGCTCCCTCCACAGATTTGCAATTGGATTAAGGTCTGGAGACTGGCTAGGCCACTCCAGGACCTTAATGTGCTTCTTCTTGAGCCACTCCTTTGTTGCCTTGGCCGTGTGTTTTTTGGGTCATTGTTATGCTGGAACACCCATCCACGACACATTTTCAATACCCTGGCTGAGGGAAGAAGGTTCTCACCAAAGACTTCACGGTACATTGCCCCGTCCATCGTCCCTTTGATGCGGTGCAGTTGTCCTCTCCCCTTAGCAGAAAAACACCCCCAAAGCAGAATGTTTCCACCACCATGTTTGACAGTTGGGATGGTGTTCTTGGGGTCATAGGCAGCATTCCTCCTCCTCCAAACACGGCGAGTGAGCTGATGCGAAAGAGCTTGATTTTGGTCTCATCTGACCACAAAACTTTCAACCAGTCCTCCTCTGCATCATTCAGATGTTCAGTGGCAAACTTCAGATGGGCCTGGACATGTGCTTTCTTGAGCAGAGGGACCTTGCGGGCACTGCAGGATTTCAATCCTTGTCGGCATAGTGTGTCACCAATTGTTTTCTTGGTGACTGTGATCCCAGCTTCCTGGAGATCATTGACAAGATCCTCACGTGTAGTTCTGGGGTGATTCCTCACTGTTCTCATGATCATTGACACTCCACGAGGCGAGAGCTTGCATGGTGCACCAGACCTAGGGAGACTGACAGTTGTTTTGTGTTTCTTCCATTTGCGAATGATTGCACAAACTGTTGCTGCCTTCTCGCCAAGCTGCTTGGCGATCGTTTAGTAGCCCATTCCAGCCTTGTGTAGGTCTACAATACTGTCCATGACATCCTTGGACAGCTCTTTGGTGTTTGCAATGGTGGAGAGTTTGAAATCTGATTGTTTGATTGCTCCTGTGGACAGGTGTCTTTTATACAGGTAACAAAATGAGATCAGCAGCACTCCCTTTAAGAGACTGCTTCTAATCTCAGCTTGTTACCTGTATGAAAGACACCTGGCAGCCAAAAATCCTGCTGAATGATAGGGGATCAAATACTTATTTCCCGCATGAACATTCAAATCAGTACATAATTTGTTAGACATGCATTTCTTTTGAATTTTTTTGTTGCTTTTCTGTCTCTCAGTGTTACAGTACACCTACCATTCGATTTTTTGACTGATCATTTCTTTGTGAGTGGGCAAACATTCAAAATCAGCAGGGGATGAAATACTTATTTCCTTCACTGTATACACACACATATATATTCCTGTGTAGCTATCACCTATAAAGATGTAACATATATGACTAGCATTACCTGGTAAATAAATGCATAAAAACGCATACAATAAACCCACATCTTCATATCAAAATAAAGGGCAGATAAAGTTACTACAACACACTTACTGGCTGGACTGCCCAGTGAAAATAAAAGAAAGAAAGCCTATAAAAGAAAACTAATGCAGCCATTATATAGAAGAATTGGTAAGCTGCACTATAATGAAGGTTTGCTTTTGGGTCTAATACTGCTTTATTGAAGGTGAAAAAGCTAAACAAGACTTACCTGTCTGTTCTCATCTTCAGATAACCCATGTGCCAAGTGAGCACTGAATGTGCTCTTTCCCACTCCTCCTTTTCCTGACAGTACAAGTATCTTGTGTTTCACTGTAGACATCTTTTCTTTAATCTCGTCTATAGCTGGAATAAGAACAACAAAGTATTAAGAAGCTACTAGTGAACAGGTAAATAGTTTATACAGTTTCTCTCTCCAACCAAACTAAAGTTTATCTTTGCCAAAAAAAAAAAGATGATTTGCCATTGCCTGCTGCACATGTGTAGTGCAGTGCACACTGAAGCTTAGTGTATGGTTGGTGCAAATCCATCATGAATGCATGGGAGTTTCAACATCACAGGCTGGCCTATTAATGCCAGAAGAAGGCGCCGCTGTCAACAGTTGTGAAGCGGTGGGAGAGCATCCGGCACTGCACTGAGGGAGTAGGACAAACCCAGGGGTAAGTTTGCCAGAGCATGCAAGTGTTCAGCTCTCCCCCACCCCAGTCCCAATTTAGGAATAAGAACTGAAACCTGAGTGACAGCTATAGGCCTCTTGCACACAGAAGCCTAAAAATGCCAATTTTTTGGACATTCAAGCATTTATTTTTTTTTTAACTAATCTAAATGCAGCCCAATATTTTTATTGGGCCTGTACACACAGGGGTGTAAGCTTGTGTTGCAAATAGAACAAAAAAAAAAGAACATTCAAATCAAGCAGGTATACCCACAACAACACATTAGAGGGATGTGTGTCTAATAGATTGACATGGTTATCATGAGCATAAAGTGTCCGCCCAGCACACAGCCTCCTTAGGGTCAGTGATAAAGTGAGTTTCCCTTGATAACCAACTCTTAAGCTGGCCATACATTATACAGTTTTCTTGTTCAATTTCTGTAAGATTTACCTTCAACTATGGAGTACAAGCTGTGATAACCCCGGTGCTCGGCCCCTGACCTTTTCACCAACTCCTGACAAAGGACTGGCCAATCTCACACCATGCTGTCACTTACATAACAATGCAACTCTCCTCTGCAGCCTGCACAAAGATTTTCCAGCTTGCAGAACCACAATCTAGTTACATAGTTAGTCTGGCTGAAAAAAAAAAAAAAAAAAAAAAGACGAAAGTCCATCCAGTTCAACCATTAAAAAAAAAAAAAAAAAAAAAAAAAAAAAAAAATATATATATATATATATATATATATATATATATATATATATATATATATATATATATATATATACACATACATATACATATATTGTGGCAGTATGAACGGCGAGGTGATAGAGGGACGCTATGTGTCACCTCGCATACGCTCATACCTGACAGTTTAGGTGGAGTCCACTCCGGGTTTTCGGGGGCCACAGTTGAGGAGGTGGGTCCGGACCAGAGTCTGGACTCCACTGATGTCCACCAACAGGTGATATAAAAAGGGCAGGGCTGGAGCAAGTTGTTGCTCGTGGCCTGGGACTCAGAGAGGTATTCTGAGAGAGCTGTGTGTGTACTATACCTACAAGAAAAGGTTTGCTTTTGTTTTGGTGACAGGGAGAAGCCCTTCACCTCTGAGAGAGGAAACGTCTTCTGTTTAGTTAGTGCCTGGATGGCAAGGGTTTATTTTGATGTTTTGTTTATTTTGATATTTTTTACAAACCTTTTAAATAAAACTGACAACCAGTCAGATTTTGACGAAAGCCTGCTGTGCGGTCTACCTTTTTCCCAGGGAAGGAGATCCCCCACCTGAGCTACCCCCACAATATATATATATATATATATATATATATATATATATATATATACACACACACACACACATACACACACACACACATATACACACACACGCAGTTGATCCAGAGGAAGGCAAGAAACCCAGCAAAGCATGATCCAGTTTGCTCCTGCAGGGGAAAAATTCCTTCCTGATCCCCCGAGAGGCAATTGGATATTCCCTGGATCAACTTTACCTATAAATGTTAGTAACCAGTTATATTCTGTGTATCTAGTAAAGAATCCAGGCCTTTTTTAACCACTTCAAGTCCAGACACTTTTACCCCCTTCCTGTCCAGGCCAACTTTCAGCTTTCAGTTCTATCACACTTTGAATGACAATTATGCAGTCATGCAACACTGTACCCATATGAATTATTTAGCAGTTTTTTGAGACAGATAAAACTTTATTTTGGTGGTATTTATTCACCATTGGGATTTTTATTTTTTTTTGCAATATAAATTAAAAAGTCCAAACATTTTGAAAAAAAAGTGTTATTCTTATAAAATTTTGCAAATAAATATTCTTTCTTCATAAATCTTGGCCAAAATGTATTCAGTTATCTTTTTAGTAAAAAAAGAAAAAAAAAAAAAGAAATGAATTAGTTTATAACCAAAAATTATAATTTTTGAAAAAATCTTTTTACATTTTATTTTTTTATTTTTTTTAACCATAGTGACACTGTACTACTTGTGATTGCTTTTACACCCATAAAGGCTGTAAAAACAATCATTTCTCTCTCTGGCTGCATTCTTGCAGCCATTGAGAAATATTGTGAAGCTGTGATTGGTCACAGCTTGTCACATGGTACAAGGCTGTTGTGAATAGCCTTGTACCATGTGATCTCTGTGATCATTCATAGATTTCACAAGTAGTAAGCAATGATATCAGAAGTGACATCTTACTTACTACTATTCATGTGATCACTGATTGGCCAATCAGTGATCACATGATCGGGACCTCACACAGAGGACGCAGCGGGCACTGAATCGCGGTGCCGTGCACTCCCATGGAGCACGCACAGACTAAAATGCCGGTCTCCGTTTATGAACAGCAACCTGCCCTGCTCTGCTCACGTCCGGCCATTTATATACATGGGCCAGATGGGAAGTGGTTAAAGCAATCCACGGAGCTGGCCAGAACCAACTCTGGAGGGAGTCTATTCCACATTTTCACAGCTCTCACTGTGAAGAAACCTTTCCGTGTTTGGAGATTAAATTTATTTTCCTCCAGACGTAAAGAGTGCCCCCTTTTCCTCTGTGATGACCTCAGGATGAGTAGCTCTACAACGAGTTCACTATATGAACCACTGATGTATTTATACATGTTGATCATATCCCCTCTTAATCTCCTCTTCTCAAGAGAGAATTAATTCAGTTCCTCTAATCTTTCTTTCTAAACCTCATTTGCCACATAGTTGCCCAATTACACAGTGCATTGAGGTCGGCTTGTAAGTTGGAGACATCCTGTAAGGATGTTATTCTAAGTGCCAACAGACAGAGGGATTGTTACTGGGTTAAGTTAATAAAGCAATTAACCCTTTAAACTGCACCACCACCACCTTTTTGCTGAGAAGGAGGAAACTCAATCTTAGCAATAGCAATTATGATTTTAGAATAAACATCTAACACGCACTGTCACCACAGACAGGTATGTTCAGAGATTTATACTACAGTAGCACTCTTCAAGAGACAAGGATTCTTTAACCCCTTCCTGATAAGAAGGTTCTGGCATCAGTTAAAGTGGTTGTAAAGGCTCAAGCTTTTTTTACCTTCATGCATTCTATGCATGAAGGTAAAAAACTGTGTGCAGCAGTGCCCCCAGCCCCCTCAGTACTCACCCGAGTCTCATCGCGATCCAGCGTTGTGAATGACAGCCTCGGCTGTCCCGGGTCTTTGCCTCCTCATTGGCTGAGATAACAAGCAGGAGCCAATGCTGTCAATCACAGCCAGACAACCAATGGAGGGGGGGCTACGCCATGGCTGCGTGTGTGAATGGACATGCGGAGCAGCAGGAGCCTCCATAGCAAGCTGCTTGCTGTGGGGGAACCCGACATGAGGAAGGGACCAGGAGAGCCTGCGGGGGACCCAAGAAGAAGGGAATCCAGGATGCTCTGTGCAAAACCACTTTACACAGAAGGTAAAAGTATAACATGTTTGTTATTTTCCATAAAAAAAATGAACCTTTAGAATCGCTTTAACAGTTGTGTACTGTATAAACTGAAGGAAGGGGGTCACTGTGTTATGCCTTCTTATAACAAGATGGCATAGGAGACTTGGGACGTGAACTAAATGGCTGCTACACAAACACAGCTATTCATGTGCCCAGTAAAGTGTTTAGGTTTGACCTCATATTGTATGGTTTTAGTAAATCTAAATCTAGTACAAGAAAAATTGTATGTTGTATGGCCAGCCTTAGGTTCACTGTTTATGATATACTGTAGTCGATTTTCTTATCTCAGAGCCTATTTTTTACACATAAGAATGCCGCTGTGTTGCTAGCCAATATTTTACCATGTGTATGTGTACATTCCCTTAATTAACCACTTGCCCTCCTGAGGATTTACCTCCCTTCCTGACCAGGCCATTTTTTTTCAATACGGCGCTGCACTACTTTAACTGACAATAGCGTGGTCATGCAACGCTGCACCCAAATGAAATTCATGTCCTTTTTTTCCCCCACGCAATGAGCTTTCTTTCGGTGGTATTTGATCACCTTTTATTTTTTGCGCTATAAAAAAAAAAATGCTGACAATTTTGAGAAAAAAACAATATTTGACATTTTGCTATTAAACATGTCCAGTAAAAAAAAAAAAAATGTAAAAAAAAAAAAAATCAAAATTTCGTCATAAATTTGGGCCAAAATGTATTCTGCTACATGTCTTTGCTAAAACAAAATCCCAATACATGTAAATTAATTGATTTACGTGAAAGTTATAGCCTTTACAAATGGCAGTATATATACTGGATTAGTAATGGCGACGATCCACAACTTATAGCAGGACTGCGGTGGCCGTTCTCACACTGGGGGGGACTGACTTGGTGTCACTGACATCCCCTGTGACACCAATACAGTTATCAGTGCTGAAAAAAAAAAAAAAAAAAAAAAAAAGCACTGACACTGTACTAATGGCACTGGGCAGGAAGGGGTTAACATGAGGGGCGATCAAAGGGTTAACTGTGTGCTGGGAGTGTTTTACTAGGGGGGCGGTGTGCCATCCAGAGCAGTGTGCCCAAGCCAACAGGGAGGAGGACTGTTGGTAAACAAAGTAGCCCTCCTCCCCAATGGAGATTCTTGGTAATCACCGGCTGGAACTTGGTGAATGACAGCTGCGGCCGGCGAATGTCGGCACAGG